TGAAATCGAAAGTGAAAGCATCCGAAGCCCAGCTTATAACACAGCAAAAGAGGAACTCGCGTTCACAAAATTCAAATCACAAATAATACTACTGATGAAAAAGAACGGGTTGAATGTTAACTACTTTCGTTTCCATATAACTATAAACTACGATAAAAGTTCATCAGCATGCATTGATTAATAGCATGTTGTAGCGCAAAAAAACATGCTAGTGCAACCACCTGAGAAAGTTAATTGCAAAAGAGCGACCAGTGGGAAGAATGAGTCTGGAGCCCTGAATTGCCCAGCTCCCTCTGTCAATGATCTAGCACCCCCTCAGCACCTGCGTTCAACATTCTCTGGCGCCGCCCCTGCTACATCGATGTATTTTTGAAAAGCAAAAATTAAGTTTGTCCAACTCTAAACCCAGTCCCCAAGTAAATTAGGTTATTAAATAAAAAACTAGCAAAATAGTTGCGCAGTGTCCCCACCACTTTTCAAAGCAAAGTTACGCCACTGAGTCTATGGCATTTATAAGGTACGGTGTTTACATGTCCTCTCGCTCGGATTACAAAAGGAATACACCACCCCTTACAATCCGATCAAAATTTTTGTCTGATCTGGTCAATTCTACCCGATTGACGTGTTTACATGTGACTTTTTTATTCTGACTGTGCTTCTAGTCCTATTACGATCGGTTTAGTAGGGTCCATGTAAACGCAGCTTGGGTCATTCTTCAGAGCACAAAAACACCTCTGAACCTCTTAGATTATTATACAGATTGAAACTGTCGTCAGACTAATGATCTTACCAGTGTTATGCTAACTATCTCCAGCTGACGGTCAGGACCCCAGAGCATCTCAGTTTGCCCAGAGACAAATCCAGTTCTCCCAAAGGGCTACTGTGTACACACAACATAAAAATAAACCTCAATGAAAAAAACATTTGTAGCAACAGTACGTGCTGATACATTTTAAAGCTACGCTATGTACATTTTTTTTTTAACTAAATTAACAAAATGTTACTGAGTGCAAAATGACAATCTTTAAGACAGTCGGGACCAATTTTGCAGGAATTTGCATATCCGTAAACAAAGAAAATGTGAAGCTAAAAGTTATTTGTCACAACAAGCGAAAAATATTGACCATGGACCATGCAAAATGCCAAACCTCTGGTTGTATAAATTATAATTAATAAGAAAGCAAGAGAGAGATGGCTTTTTACTTACTAAGCAGGTAAGATATTTTGAACTGATAGACGCTAACAGTAAAGTTAATTACAAATTAGAACATTCATCCTTAGACTAGCAAAAGTTTTATCTCGTTAAAACATTTGTTACGTCATTTATACATTCAAAAAAATCTTTTTTTACATTACTTCAAAACAACAGCCTAAGATACTGTATGCACCTGTTCAGATGAAATGTTGATCTCTGTGGCACGAACCACATTCATCTGCGCAGAGCTGAGGCACAACAAAAACAATGTTCCTCCGCAAGATGCATGTAGTTTTGTTTTTTTACCACTAGATGGCCAAAAGTTACACTGTGTAGCTTTAAATGGCCTGGCGCTTTACTACTACTACTACAATAACTAATAAAAATAATGCAGCTGCACCAAAGGGCCTACTGTGCCAAGAGATGGAGCTGCACCAGAAGAACAACTAAGCCCAGAGCTGCACTACGCATCATTTTCATTATTCTTCATATCTGTTAAGATGTTAAAAAATGATTAATAAGTTACCTAAAGGGCCACCAGGAGCTCCTGAGGTCAACAGGAAGCCAAGTGATGTTATTACCTGAAAACAGAAACATTTCAAGCAGACATGACATAATGCACCCTGGCTAGAACAAAGCAGACAACCTTTTCCTCCACTAGATGGAAGCAAAGCTCCTTCATGAAATCTGAAGGCGTCACAGAAGAGCTTTGGCAATGTATCCAGCAGGAGCAGGTAGATGGAGGAACAGGTGCAGCGCAGGGCGTGGTACACAGCTCTTAGTAGGGCGATCCTGCTCACGCTGTCATCGGAGAAGGTTAATGAGCCGGTCGGCCTGGTTTATGAGAGCCACCCACAGGCATGCAAACAATGAATGCCGCCAAACAGGAAAAACCCTTCAAGTCCAAAAAGCAGAGAAGATTTCAGTCAAGTTGAGAGCAAGACAGACAATGAGAGGAGGAACTATCGTGACGTCAAATTCTGTGAAATACACATGAAATGATCAAACACTGATCACTTGCTATATCCGTGTTCCATTATAAATTGCGTAGCATCCGATTTGCATTGATTTCAGTGATTTACTGGGTTAGCATTTTAATCCATGAGATACAGCAGCAAATTAAACTGCATTTCAGAAGCTGAGTGACATATGAAAGAAGCATCAATCAAACAGTGAATAACATCAGTTCCTCCGGCTGCACTGCAAATCTAAAACATCCGCTCCAGCATGCTGTGCTGTGCTTTTCTTTCTCCATCCCTCCATGTTAAGATGCTAAAAATCTCCTCAGTCTGCATAAATATATCCATGGAGGGGATTAGATACAAATACGCAATCTCACGCCTGACAATAATAACAACATGCATCCAAAACACATTCAAATCCTTGTCTATTTCTGGTTACGCATACTCTTCTTTGTTCAATATTCCTGTGAATCCTAAATTTGTGTTTGGATAAATGAAAGAGACATTATAATGAAATATCATCTTAAAAATGTACTGTCTCCAAGCCCCTTTTAAAAGAAAATTTCTATTCAAATTCAAATATACAGAATAACATTCTGGAGTTAACTATTACAGGAGAGAATTCCTCAAAGGAATGAAGCATTGCTCCGTGCACCAGCCCCATGTCCTTGATTCCTGTGAACAGACTGAAATAAGCCAGAGATTCTTCTGTGGTACACAAAGCACTGCGAAGACAAACAGCTGCTTTGGCTCCAAACAAGCGAGACTCAACAGTTGAACCGTATAAATAACATGTTCGCAGTGCAATGCAATATTTATGACATGCACTGAAAAAAAACACATTTTAGCTGTTTTAAACTCATGCTATGGATTCTGTTATCAAAGAGAGCGTGACCTTTTCTGCGGTCGGACTGCATTAATATTAATGCATGTTGAGCTTATCAGAGTGAAATGCATCTTATCGTAACACACCAAAACCAGACCGTGATTTCAAGATAACAGAGGGGGGGAAAAATCAAAAGTCAATTTCTAATGCATTTCATGGATCAGTCTGTGGTGTAATTGCTTGAAAAAGCTCTATGCGTGAAACTTAACTGGAAAAATGCATCAAAAAATCTTGTCTTGATAGATTATATAAATTGTGTTAAAATCTTTAATCTAGCTTAAAGTCACAAGTTCCCAGAAATGTACTACAAAAATTATATACATGTATAAGCCTTTCGAAAAGGAGTATAAAAACATTTCTTATGTCTGATTCTAATTTTCTTCTTCTTTTTTTAAATTCAATGATAATTTACCAGTATTGTTACTGTTAACTAAAACTTTATTTTTCTTTAACTGAAACAATGCTGAAATAAAATAAAATGTAAATATTAGATGAAAAACCTTAACTTAAAAAAAAAAAAAGGAAAATTAAAAATGTTGCCTTGGCAACTAACTGAAATATAATAATTAGCTAAAAGCAAATTCAAAATATTAACATGCGTTTATGCGGTTTAAGGTTCAAAAAACACATTTTCCACATACTGTACATTATTGTTTCTCCTCTATGCCCCGCCTTTCTGAAACGCATCGATTTTTACAAAGCTCATCGGTCTGAAAAGTGAGGGGTGCTCTGATTGGCCAGCTATCCAGTGCGTTGTGATTGGCCGAATTCCTCAAGCATGTGACGGAAATGTTACACCCCTTACCATATTGTGATGCCGTGTCCCAGACCGACGAGACAAAAACATTAAAACCCATTACAAACGAGGCATTTGTTGCATCCAGTGGGGACATAATTACTGATTATAATGACTTATACTGTCTTTTTACACGTTGCAGTGCATCGCGCCGCATAAACATAAAACCATGTCTGCATTTGTGATCGGAGAAATGACAAACAACAAGCCCTACTCTACACTGCTCAAAACTCACGTTTGAATCTTCAGTGGCAAATTCTGTAAATATGAAAACGTACTTATAGTCTGCAAGTCAGAACAGCCGGCATTGTAGTCTACTCTCCCAGGATCAGGAAATGTATTCCATAAAATGCGCTGCATTCATCTGAATATTTGGGTTGAACTGTTCTGGAACAGTGTTGTAAATACAACTTAACCACTGATTTCTAGTTGTGTCCTCTTTTGGAAGACCAAAGTAGTTTCGCTTTCGCAATGAAACACACAGCGTCTTCACAACATGGCGGCGGCGGTGGCAGCAACAATAAAGTTACGCCTCCTTTCTTTGCGTGAACATTTGGACGGCGTTATGCAAATCTTCCCACATCGTGACGTAGACATGTGGGGGTGTTTAAACGAGGCATTTGGAGGGCGTGGACAAGTCTTAACTTTTATAAAGAATATCTCTTTGGGTTTGAGACTTTAGTCTTTGCAACTTCAGGTATCTTATCTATTCACAAACAGCTTGTAACACTCCAAAGAGAAAGGAAAACTTGAAATCGCATCATTTGACCCCTTTAAAAGGTTACTTCATTAAATCATCAAGTCAAGTCAAATCATCTGCTATTTAAGCCACTTGACAGTCAATGAGAGATTAACAAAACTATGAAAGATTATTCCATAATAATAAATCATGTCAAAAAAACAAGCATCACATCAATGATTATTTTCAGCACTATCTGTGGTATTTGATAACATCAAGTTCTAAAGACCCTCACACCATCCAAGGTAGACCACATCAACCGAACCGCTCTACCAATTATCAGCTCGTCTCTTGAAGTGTCTCCATTATTGTATGTCAGGGCCATTATTCCCACAGAGGCCCAGGCCCGATCAGACCGCAGTTATCTCCCATCACACATACTCTGAGCCCTGGAGGCCCACTTACGCAGGGCATGATGTGTGGACCCGGGGGGAAGACTCCATCTTTGACACACAGAGACTCTCTAATTGCCTAACTGGATTTAGCCTCCGGTGTGAAATATCTCCAGAGGGGAAATGGAGAACGATAGAGACATAAAGAGAGATGGAGAGACAAAAAAGCAAGAGGTGAGAAATGGCTCTACACAGCTAATTCAGTGGTCCTGACCTCTGCTCTCCTGTGGGAGATCTCATACCACACATCTATTCCAGATACACAGCAGACACAACGGCGGTAATGGAGATGACCCCAATATGGCCACAAGAGAGGAAAACGAACACATCGCATCGACCCTCTAACAGCCACAACGAAACACATTACCTGCTCGTTGAAGCCTCAGCGCTGCACGTCTCTCTGTGTGCTGATTGCCTGTAATGGAATCCAGCGGAGCTTCAGACACATGGCAAAATTCATTGCATCCAAAGCTATGAACCCAGGGTTCAAAAACTCACCAAGCACCAATTGTGAGTAAATATTGGTACCTGGAGAGTGAATAAAAGGAGCTGGCCTGGAACTTTATTAAGAAACACAAAATAATACATGGTTTAGGTTCAATTGTGGGTCTGATTACCCACAATTGTTATGCAATACTCTGTGAGCTTTTGTAAACGTTTAAAATGACTATCTGTTTTTAAATTTAAGGCAGTATTTCTCTAAAAAGGCTTTACCAGACTTAAAAATAAATGCTTGATTATTTATACAATTGAGAAGACTAAATGGAGGTACAGTGCCAAAATTAGCCAAAACTAATCATGATTTGCAAATACTTACTTTTGTTTGTTCTGTTGTTTTCCCGCTTAAAATTATCACTTAGGCCAAGTTATAAAAATGAAATGTTTTAGAAGACTAACTAAATTGAAAGTAAAATTGAGGATACAGGCAATACCTATGAATTAATAACCTATTAAAACAATATTCCCAAAATTCTCTGCTATGGTTACGTAATTTTGATCATTCAAAAAGAAATGCAGAAAACATGTTTGACTCGACATTAAGCTACTTGCCGTATTTTGTTTTGAGCGCCATCATTAACTAATTTCAGTTTTGTCTGGGCGTTCACGGAGTCTAACCCAATACAATTCATTACAGATTTCCGTGGAAAAGGCTACATTTCCAAACTTCGTCACGAGACAAAACAGCGAATTTGCCCGCAATACAAAACGTATACAAAAACATAGCCTATATATTCAATACACCTTTTTCCTAAGTACCTGATGAGCGCCGCCATGAAGGATTCAAACTTCCGTTAGCATGCTGTCGTGTTCCGGTGTTAAAACGGTGTACGATCGACTAGATGTCGCCTCATGTCATCTACTCACTCATTAATCTATGACTAGTGGGTTACTGCTGCAAAAAATGCCCATTGCGACACTGTAAAGTGATAAAACTATGGTGCCATGTGCTTTTTAAAACCATTTTCATATGTTTAACGTTATATCAGCTCGGAAAATTTGTTAATTTGACTAGAAACACCAAAGACCGGAAATGTACGAAACTTCCGCGTTCAGGAAAAAGGTGGATAGCAGAGCTGCCAACTCTCACCCAGTCTGTTCTCATGCCCTCACGCCCCACGTCCTTTTTCTCACGCAGATAAAAGCACCCATATTTAAAACTTTAATAACAGGATACTGACGAAACAGATTTGGTAAAGGCTCCAGTGTGTCAAAAGTTTCTATTTACAACGTGTTTTTGTAGCATTGCGCAATGTAGCCAATCACAGACATGTCTGTTGATTTGAACACCTCTGATTGGACATTTTGTTCAAGTTGTTCCGAATTCACTCACCTCTAAATACCGAATTTTTTCCTGCACGATCGCAATTCCTCTCATTGTAACAAAATGTAGACATGATGTAAATAACAGATTCATTGTGCAATTAAGAGAGCTTCATCAATAATAACGGAACATTGTGAGAGTGCAATAAAGTGAAGCGAGTGACTTTATTTAATATGTTAAAAACACAGTATCAATCATCATGATGTTGACAACGTGTTTTTGTAGCATTGCGCAATGTAGCCAATCACAGACATGTCTGTTGATTTGAACACCTCTGATTGGACATTTTGTTCAAGTTGTTCCGAATTCACTCACCTCTAAATACCGAATTTTTTCCTGCACGATCGCAATTCCTCTCATTGTAACAAAATGTAGACATGATGTAAATAACAGATTCATTGTGCAATTAAGAGAGCTTCATCAATAATAACGGAACATTGTGAGAGTGCAATAAAGTGAAGCGAGTGACAGTTTTACATAATTTTATGTTAAAAACACAGTATCAATCATCATGATGTTGACTACTAGGCATGTCCAGATGTCAGACAAAACTCTGCTGATAGGGCTTTTTTTAACAAAACATGCTTATTGATAACAAGCTGTATGCCTCATGCTATGCATGCTCCACAGTTTGACTTGCTCCCTTTTATGCACCACCAGCAGTTGATAACCTCTATAGCCTATATAAATGATCAAATGTGCTAGCTTGTCATGAAGTACAAAAGTAGAACAGAGATGTGTATAAACAATCATGAATTAAAAATGTTTAGTCACTTTTTGTATTTGTATTTCATGCAGTTTAAGTACTTCAAAGCTGTACTAAACTGCTGGGAAAGCTACAAAATAAAAATGAGCTAATCAACAACAACAACAAGTGTGACAGCTATAGAGAAAGCAACTATTCATATTTCTTTATAAATATGTAATATTAAAAATAATCAGCTGTAATTTGCCAATTAAATAAAAATGGGAAAATAAACCACCAATGCTGTGTGTATACTGAATGATTACTATAAAAATATTTTTTTAAAAAGTGACGTGACATGTGGCCAAGTATGGTTACCTGCCTTGCTCAAGGGCACCTCAGTCGTGGTATTGAAGGTGGGAAAGAGCATTGTACATTCACTCCCCCCACCTAGAACCCCTGCCGGTACGAGACTCGAACCCACAACCTTTGGGTTACAAGTCCGACTCTCTAACCATTAGGCCACGACTTCCACATGTCCATAAAACAGCTGTTCCATAAACAGCTGTAGTTACAAGGTAGGCCTACTTCAAAATTACCACAGTGTCACACACACGGAAATGTCCTGTACTTTAAGTGTTTTTGTGTACTGTTAATATTTTGGTACAATATGAGTGGTCAATATTAACCATAATGAATCACTTAAAATAGATGTTACTAAAAGTTATATCATATAAAATGATCAAAGCTATCTATCTGTCTATCTATCTATCTGACAAGGCTGCCAATTCTCACGCATTCAGCATGAGGCTTGCGCAGTTAAAGGGTTAGTTCACCCAAAAATTCTGTCATTAATTACTCACCCTCATGTCGTTTCAAACCCGTAAGACCTTCGTTCATCTTCGGAACACAAATTAAGATATTTTTGATGGAATCTGAGAGCTGTCTGACCCTGCATAGACAACAACGCAACTGAAATGTTCCCAATTCCAGAAACGTAGCGAGGAGATCTGTAAAATAATCCATGTGACATCAGTGGTTCAACCATAATTTTTCGAAGCTACGAGAATACTTTTGTGCGCAAAGGGAAAAAAAATAATGACTTTATTCAACAATTCGTCTCCTCCGCGTCACCCTGTAGCGCCATTTTGGAGAGTATCCACTGGACTTAAACAGCATATGCTGTTCTGTGTCAGCTGTGTCGTAATTTTTTTTTTCTTTTGCACACAAAAAGTATTCTCATAGCTGGATTGGATGAACAGCATTCGAGTCATTAATGTGCCCCTGTGACCCAGTGTTTTGTATTACTGGGCTAAATTCATATGTTGCTTGGCAAACCTAAACAGGCTACAGTTAGGGACTTTCACATAGAACGCATTTTTTAGTTTAAAAACATGAGAATCCAGGGTAGTTGGATTTTAAAAAGTAGTAGTAAAAACAACATATAACGCAATACAATACAATGATGCAATACAATGATGATTGAGCGAAAATAAACAAATAAACATTCCTCAGAAACTGATGCATCATATTTGATATTTTAGCATGATTTTTCTGATAAAACCAACGTTTCTTCAGTCCAGCAAGTGATCATTTTGAAATATTACATACAATATAAAAGTTATTCTTATCTTTAATTTATAAAAATCAGTAAAGATTTCACGGCAAAAAGACACGTGCACCACAGCCATTTAGGGAGATGTTTTTAGAATTACTAGAAGGCCTTTTACTTGATAAAAAATAAATAAATAAATAAAAAAAAATAAAAAAATAAATAAAATAAAATAAAATAAAAATAAAAAACAGAAAGCTTGTAGTACATTGTGTGCAACAGGTTTTTCAGCTGGCAACAATAGCTCATTTTATTTTTTAACTAACTACATTTAATAATGTCAGAGTTCAAGAACACAAAGCAGGTGGGAATATCTCACATTTACTCGTGAGAGCATGTGTATCTTCTAAACCTCAGGCATAGCCTGAAGTTCAGAATAAAGAGCTCTAGAACTGGCTCAGAACATTGCTAAAATCTCAGTATGTTATTATTAGTTAATAGTTCTAGAAAATTACTGTGGTTGACTGCACAGTAAATGCTGTGAATGCGGTGTTCACATCTGATTAAAACCATATGGACAGGTTGCCCAACTGGCTCCACATTCCTTTGTGTGAAGGTGGAGAATAAGCAAACAGAACCCCCTGGAAGGCGTGTATCTGTTATCTGGTTCCCAAACATGATGCATTCCAGACTGTGCTGCACAGCCCTTAGTGGTAGTTATACAGAACCCAGGCCAATTTATTTAAAATCAACAATATATTATATATTTCACTATATGCAATTTTTCTTCTGGACCAGATGTAAATTTCTGACCTGTACAATTGATATTTCTCATTCTTTCGAAAGAATCCTGCTTGGTTAAAAGACTAGGAACATTCTCCAAGAAGACAAGTGATGATATGGGTGAAGCAAATCTTGAGCAAGACCATCACTGCTTTGATAGGCTTCTGTTGTTAGGGCTCAGAGCATTACGCTTGCGAGATAAATTCTCCCCTCTTCCATGCTTCCAATCTCTGTGTACAACCAGATAACGTTACCATGGAAACATGCAGCATCCAACCAATCAGCAATCAACACCCTCCCTCCGACCTGCTCCTCTCATGATATGCAAACAATTATT